CACAGAGACTTCTACACACAGACGCTTTTACACACAAACACTTTCACACACAGAGGCTTTTACACACAGAAGCCTTTACACAGAGACTCCTTTACACACAGACGCTTTTACACACAGAAGCTTGTACACTCAGAAGATTTTACACCCAGACGCTATTACACACAGACACTCTTACACACGGACGTTTTTACACACAAACGCTTTTACACACAGACACTTTTACACACAGACACTTTTACACACAGAGGCTTTTACACACGGAAACTTTTACACACAGACACTTTTACACACAGAAACTTTTACACAAAGAGGCTTTTACACACAGACACTTTTACACACAGACGCTTTTACACAGTTGCTTTTACACACAGACGCTTTTACACACAGACGCTTTTACACACAGACGATTTTACACACAGACGCTTTTACACACAGACACTTTTACACACAAAAGCTTTTACACACAAACGCTTTTACACACGGCACTTTTACACAGACACTTTTACACACAGACGCTTTTACACACACCCTTTTACACACAAACACTTTCGCACACAGAAGCGTTTACACACAGACTCCTTTACACACAGACGCTTTTACACACAGAAGCTTTTACACACAGAAGATTTTACACAAAAACAAAACTTTCACATTAAGACGCTTTTACACAGAGGTTTTTTACACAGAGGCTTTTACACACAGACGCTTTTACACACATACGCTTTTACACACAGACGGTTTTACACACAGACCCTTACACAGACACTTTGAAACACAGACGCTTTTACACACAGACGCTTTTACACACAGAGGCTTTTACACACAGGCTTTTACACACAGACACTTTTACACAGACGAAAGCGTCGCGATTGACACTTTAAAATTGCATTTTTTGCTCAGTTTTTGACGTCCAACGTCCATTTTGTGCGAAAGGGTTGCGCGCGACCAATAAAAGTTGCAATTTTTCCTCAGTTTTTGACGTCCAACGTCCATTTCGTGCGAAAGGGTTGCGCGCGACCAATAAAAGTTGCAATTTTTCTTCAGTTTTTGACGTCCAACGTCCATTTCGTGCGAAAGGGTTGCGCGGGACGCTTCAAAGTCGCAACTTTTCCTCAGTTTTTGACGTCCAACGTCTATTTCGTGCGAAAGGGTTGCGCGCGACCAATAAAAGTTGCAATTTTTCCTCGTTTTTGGCGTCCAACGTCCATTTCGTGCGAAAGGGTTGCGCGGGACGCTTCAAAGTCGCAACTTTTCCTCAGTTTTTGACGTCCAACGTCCATTTCGTGCGAAAGGGTTGCGCGCGACCAATAAAAGTTGCAATTTTTCCTCAGTTTTTGACGTCCAACGTCCATTTCGTGCGAAAGGGTTGCTGGGGACGCTTCAAAATCGCAATTTTACCTAGGTTTTGGACGTCCAACGTGCATTTCGTGCGAAAGGGTTGCGTTTCGTGGCGCTCCGGCGGCACCGCCCCCGCCTTAAGAGAGAATAGAAGAAGAGCGAGAGGAGATCTGCAGATGTGAAGGTGTGAAGATCTAGATCTGCAGATCTAGATCTGGAGGTGTGAGGGTGTGATGGTGTAGATCTGCAGATGTGAGGGTGTGAAGATCTAGATCTGCAGGCGTGAGGATGCGAAGATCTAGATCTGCAGGTGTGAAGATGCGAAGATCTAGATCTGCAGGTGTGAGGGTGTGAAGATCTAGATCTGCAGATGTGAGGGTGTGAAGATCTAGATCTGCAGGTGTGAGGGTGAAGATCTAGATCTGCAGGTGTGAAGGTATGAAGATCTGCAGATGTGAGGGTGTGAAGATGTAGATCTGCAGATGTGAGGATGTGATGATGTAGATCTGCAGATGTGAGGGTGTGAAGATCTAGATCTGCAGGTGTCAAGGTGTGAAGATCTAAATCTGCAGATGTGAAGGTGTGAAGATCTAGATCTGCAGATGTGAGGGTGTGAAGATGTAGATCTGCAGGTGTGAAGGTGTGAAGATCTAGATCAGCAGATGTGAAGGTGTGAAGATGTAGATCAGCAGATGTGAAGGTGTGAAGATGTAGTATAACGGCTGCTTTTTTACGAAGAACCCTTCGCAGGCGCTCTCGGGAACAACGTCAAAAACGAAGCAATTCTGCGAGACATCCTCAATTTTTGAACTTGACACCATTCAAAACGAAGCAACTCTGCGAGACTTCTTCAACTTTTCAATTTGACAACATCAAAAACGCAGCAATCCTGCGAGACTTCCTCAATGTTTGAAGTTGACAACGTCAAAAACGAAGCAATTCTGCGAGACATCCTCAATTTTTGAACTTGACACCATTCAAAACGAAGCAACTCTGCGAGACTTCTTCAACTTTTCAATTTGACAACATCAAAAACAAAGCAATTCTGCGAGACTTCCTTTAAAAATGGAAAGTTGAGTGCAAAGCTAACAGCTTCGTACCAATGCGTTTTGCGATTTTTCGAGTCCACCTGTCGAAAGTACTGCGCCTGCCACGAAAAAGTGATGCCAGGTCATACGAAGTTCTGCACCTTTCACGCAAAATCATCGCAGCAAACCTGAAGATCTGAGGCTCCAAAATGCACCCCCTCTCAGGAAATCAGCGCCCGGACCTCCTAACATCTCTGATAAACATGTCTCTGGTACTGCGCCTGCCACGGAAAACTCATCTTTGCAGATCCTCTGCAAATGCCCCACGGCTGCCATGGTTTTTAACCCTCACGTTGTGCTCACTTTTGACGAGGTGCACAATCCCCTGCGCCTGCCACGCGAAACGACATCTGAACGTCCAAAAGTGGTCCGAACCCCGGGTGTTTTTAAAATTTTGACTTCGAAATGTGCTTCGCGCCACAACGGCGTGCACTTTTCGACATCTGAACGTCCAAAAGTGGTCCGAACCCCTGGTGTTTTTAAAAATTTGACTTTGAAATGTGCTTCGCGCCACAACAGCGTGCACTTTTTCGACATCTGAACGTCCAAAAGTGGTCCGAACTGTGCTTTGCGCCACAACGGCGTGCACTTTTTCGACATCTCAACTTCCAAAGGTGCTCCGAACGTGAGGTGCTTTTAGCTTTTTCACTTGCAAATGTGCTTCGCGCCACAACGGCGTGCACTTTTCGACCCTCCGGAGCCACAAATCATTGGAGAAAACACAGTGTTTCGCGACTTTCCTACCTTTTCGCGCATCTGAGTTTTTTTCTTCTGATTCTTTCTCTTCTCTGATCTTCTCTCTTCTACTCTTCTCTTCTCTCTGACTCTTCCCATCTCTGTTTTTCATCTGTCCATATTGTCGGAAGTTTGACTCTAAACTTCCTTCGATAATTATGTATATATATATAAATATGACATGAATTGAAATGATATGTGAGTTTCCGACAATATTATCACATAAACAGACAAGTGGAGGGCTGACTTGAACTTTTGCCTGCCTGCATGAAACCTTGACAACCGATAGGGGACGACCCAGGACCGATACCCTTAGATTCCAACACATTTTCACAATGTTCTGCAGCAGGCTGTCTATTTCCTACAGCAACGGCTACGGACAAGGTTGTAAGTTGTAAGCATATTGTGATTATCTAAGTTATTGTATGTTATTGTTTTATACGGTTTTGTTGTTTTGGTTTTCCAGCATCAATTTGATAGACCAATTTGTCGCGCATGAGCTGATGCTCATACAACATAACATGATAAAACATGATAAAGTAGCTGCTCAAAAGCCTGTGTCTCGTGTTTCTGTCGAAGCCGATCTGAATGCAGGTGCTGAAGATCTTGCAGCGCTTGAAAGGAGTAGAGAAAGCGACCGGGCAGTTCGCAAACCCATCCATCGAATAAGCACTTCCAACACAAAGTTTGGTCGGCTGTCTCGGGAAAGACAAAGGAAACTACATGTAATTATGACGAGAGAAACATAAGAGAAGCGCAAGAGAAGCAAAAGGCACGGTGTATGTTGCGTGTTGAAGGCATATCACTATACCAATTACATCCAATTACCAACCAATATTGAAAATTATTGAAAATTTTGTTACATGTCTTTGTTCCGCATGTTACATCGCCTCAAAGCGGTGCGAGTTCATTTGACAACTCGGAAGCTCCGCAGACAACTTCGGTTTTAAGATTCCAATGCTCGTTCGAAAGACGAGACAGAGAGTGCAAAGACGCAGCGCAAAAAAAAATGTTTGAAAAAATATGATGCAAAACCCCTGGAAACTGTGTCGTTGCAAACGGAGAATCAAAGGACGAGTTGCCCATCCACCCCTTTCTTGCCGCCCCTTGTCCTGCCTTTGACTCCATCAATCAGTGCCTGACTGCAAACTGATGAAATTGCACCAGTGTCCATGAAATTCCACGAATCCAAACCGAATACGTTCTGAAAATGTCTGAAACATTCTGACTATTTCTGACTCGTAGTCGGCATATGTCGGCATAGGGGCAAAGGCAAAATACTGAATTCAGCCTGAGCTGCTGGGGAGTTGAACCGCAATGCTGTGCCTTGATTTATTGTGTTAAATTGAGTTACTCGTGCTAGTATATACAATACACATCAATACACATAATAATACATATGTGTTTATAATATACATAATATATAATTATATGTATATATATATCAGATTAGATCAGTATATGTGAATCTTGATGGCCGAAATAGCCAAAGCTCTGGATGGTAAGAAGACGATGATGTACTAGGCTGACTTCTTGTGCAGATTTGACTATATTTGATATGTGCCGCGGCGCCATCTGTTTGGTTCAAATCACTTGAAGCAATTAGGACATTTGGCTTCACATTAAAATGATACCACAAAATGTTTTTTGCAGCGCAACGCAGGTGTACATGTAAACCAGGTAGATTCACTTTGACAGCACAGAGCCACTTGGCTTTCCATCGACATGGCCTTGCCGGGCTCTCAGTGCCCTCTCAGTGGCCTCTTACTAATCATGCAGTGCAGAATTCGTAGGGATGCACTGTGCATTGCTACCGAGACGGTTTCAGACTTTGTGTAGGCCAGCAGGGTCCTTTAGTTCCAAACGTTTTGTTGATCATAGCCGTATTTGCTTGTGCCGGCTTGCCCTCAACCAATTGGCTGACAAGTTTTGTAGATATTTCCTCCAGACATCGACAATACCTGGGTCCTCACATGCTAGAAGATGGTATTGATGCAGAGGGTTTCGGCAAATTGATGAGGCCATCGATTGTCACGGTTCAGACAGCCCTCAGCCAGTTATGCAAGCAAACTTCAGGCCAAACAGTGTTTGTTCACAAAGAGAATCCGTTCACCAAACTGAGTTTTGGAAAGATTTGCTATCGTTGGCTTTGGGCTCCACAAGTGCTTTAGTGAGCCTATGCCTCAAAGTGGCCACAGCTGGCTGCATGAAATTTAGACATCAGCTTATCATATTGTCAGTTCACGGCCTTTGCCAGGGATGCGCTCTATCGCGGTGACAGACAGGGACGGTGTGGTGGTGCTAAGGAGGGGCTAAAGAAAAATAAAACCGTGGAGGAGAGTACGAGAGGAAAGTAATGGAGAGCATTAAATTAAAGTGAAGAACTTTGATGACTGTAGAAAATTAACGAACCAGGCCGATTTGATATGCCATGCTGCCTGGTAGCTGGAGCTGCATTGCGGACGGACATGTGCATGATCACTTCAAAAGGATGCGAATGTGTGCAAATGCGGCAAAGACTCGAATAAGGGGACTTGAATCAGTGCTCAGTGAGTGTATTACATGCCGTGCCTAGTTGGGACAGATGGTACCGGTGTTGCATATGTCAAAATACACGTTGCCTATAAATGATTCTAACATATATATTCTAAATGTAAAATATGATATAATATCTATTGATTATGATTATGTACCATATATGATCATATATAATCCTATATATATATATATTCATTTATACTAGGGGGCATGCAATAATCATAGAATTATCAAATCCAGTAGATGTCTTTAGATGTCCGAGTTGGACAGATGGCCCTGCGCATCCCAGGGCACCCGAGACAGCTGCTGAGGATCCTATCGCTAGGCCATGGTCTTGGGCACTGGGGAGGGAAAGACCTGCGGAAGGCTTCATTGATTCATTGATGACCTTCAAGAATTTCATTATAGGTCTTTCAATTTAATTCAACATTGGCTTCAACATATTCATACGATCCCTTAAAGACCATGTCTTAAAGGAGGCATATGTTTTTTCATTTTTTTTCGCTAAGTCACTTCATCACGCCTGGCGCGCCCATCACACCATTTGACTATGCTGAGCAAATTTGAGCAACATAGGCTTCAGGTGCAGCCTTTCTAATGGTTTTTTGTCAGATAGTAAAACGTGGTTCAGGCTCTATGAACTACCTCTGTTTACTCCCATCTTTCACCTGTGCTGGTCCATTATGGGGCTTAAAATGGCTTAAGCCTATGATGGTGGCAATTTGTGACTTTCGAAAATTCTGTCCTCATAGCCAATTCCAAACGGTTGAGTACGGTTGGACGCTTGTCAACCCTTTTTGGTTTTCAGGTGCCAGGCTCATTAAAGAACTTTGCCAACTGCAAAGAGGGTCAGGAAGTCTATTGATTTACACCTAGGGTGTTCATTCGAGGGTCAAGGTTGTGTATGACGTATGATATACAATTGTAATAAGTTGTATATATTCTACAAATTGTAGGTACACATATTCTTCACAGTGTTGACTTCAGGTGAAAGCGAGCAAGGCAAAAGGGCTTTGCATCAAGAAATCAAATATTTGTCCCGCAGTAGAAATAGGAAGACCGCAACATTATCAACAACATTACTGTAACAACAACATTACAGTAACAACAACATTAACAACAACACTAACGACGTTAATGACGACCACGACCACGACCACGACCACGACCACGACCATCACGGACGACGACGACGACGACGACGACCACCACCACGACCACGACGACGACGACGACGAAGACGAAAGAAGGTATCAGCAAAACAAAACATTCCTAACCACTCTAAAAGGCATCAGCATCATCAACAGCCACTGTGATGCAAAGCAGTTTAAAGCAAAGAGTTGATTTCAACAAATTTTGGCCTAGTTGGACCGTGTTGAACCGACGCACTTGACAGATCTTGACAGCAGTGATTTGATTTGGAAATGCAGAATGTTGATTTCGAATTTGCGACGCATGTGTGTGTGATGTCTTGAACCACCTCAATTGAGAAGTACCGTTCTGAATGAAGCAATCCCGTCTGGAAAGATCTGAAGCAATCCTGACAGCTGTTCATTGCTTTTGAACTTGTGGATCTTGTGCCCAGCAGCGTGCTGACCACCATCTTTTCCATGGCCGCTGTGCAGAGTGAGAAGGTGAAAGGACTTGGATCGGCAGCGGCCTCACTTAATCTGTTGTTGTGTCAGGACATGATGGCCTCAAGGGCATGTTATTGCGTTGATTCGTTGATCATGGTCGATGTGGGTGTTAAACAATTTCGTACTTTTTTTTGGGTTCAATGGGAACCAACAGAGCGTGCTTT